AAGTACAGGTGAACAGCCTGAACTACCCAAGGACAGGAGCGCAAGATGCTTTTTTTTTTTGTCCACAAAGAAACAACTTAAAACAAAAAAAATTCAAAATTGCACAATTTACCTTAAAACTAAGCTTTGTATATCTGATGGAAGGTGTATATATCTTTCTTAAAATATCTTCATTTGGAAGGAACTTAATTGGAGAGGCCTGCTCTGCTACAGAATCGCCATTCATTACTGCTTAAACATATAAGGTTCAGTACAATCGCTATATAAATACATCACAAGTATACATAGATATACCATTGCCTTCACAACCTTTGTTTCTTCCATCATAATCCTCGTTACAGGAAGTTGAAGATACCTGCTTTTGTTCGAGCCCTGCAATTCTTTCTTTAAGATGTTTCACCTGTATAATTGGAGACATGTTAAGTAGATTTACTGAAACATACCTTTAGAATATAAGAAGGTTACAAAAAGCATTAGGTGGCCTAGCCATCAAACCTGGCGCCTAGAGCCTAGGTGCCCAGGGGGAGCCTAGACAGGGCCTACGATGTCTCCTTTTTTTTAATACAATCATTGCTATCATAGGTGCCAAAGTGGCGCCTCACCTACGCGATAGGCCCAGAAGGATTTACTTTTTTGTTTATGTGGTGGCAGAGGAGGTTTTGCCAAATGTCGGAGGAGTTGGAGGAGGTGTTCATAGTCGGTGGAGGATGTTGGAGGAATTCAGAGGAGGTTAAAGGACATGCAGTCTGCATAAACGATCTCCACTCCCCTAGGCAGAGCCTAGGCATCTTAGGTACCACATAGGCCTATGCAGAGCCTAGCCCTTGTAGGCGGGCTAGGCGGGAGCTTTTTAAACCATTGGAATATAATAATAACATCAAGCAGAAAGCTTACAATGATAATAACCATAAAAATCATAAGAATAACACCAGATGATAAATGACTACATTTTTCTAGAAAAACGAGGTCAGCGAAAAAGTAAAAGAATTAAGCTCAAGCAATTGCTAACCACGGAGTTATATATAAAATGTTGCTTTGCGCTCCTTACTAGATAATACCAAATAGAAGTAATCTACATGGATATCGCACATTTATAGCTTAACTAAATCAACATAAGTGAGCATTGTGGATAGGCCATGCTTTTGTAGTTCAACTAAATCGGGACCAGTATCACACTAAATCAGTACCTCTTCCTCCATCAAGGTGATCATTCTGTCCTTGTCACTTGTGTCCTCAGGCATACAACCAAAAGTAACAGCATTGGCTTCAAAGCTTCCAGGGCTAACATCTGATTTGATATTGCATTTGCTTTCTCCGGAATGGCTTGTAGTTGTAGATTGTTGTCCATACGTTTGATTGATTTTCTCCAACACTGGTGAAGAGTTACTTTCCACTTCATTGAGCGGTAGCTGACATCCCCCTTCAGGATTTATTGAAGTAAAATCTTCTGGACAATCCCCTGACACATCTGCAGGGGAAATAGGATTCACAGAGTGGCAAAGATCTTCCATTTTGCCATGATGAACCATGAACTGCGTAACTGGCATGGAACTCTCTTCTACTCTAGCACGTGGTGGTTCCTTTGGATCTGAATCGCCTGTTGCAATACTATTTTTATCTGACATCACAACACTATCAGATGAGAGAGATTGATCAGTTGCTTTAGCTTGATCTTTCTCCCAGCATCTCATGTACGCAGAATCCATAAGAGGCGTCGAGCGCGTATTATCCTGATGACAAAGGATATCATAAGATAGGACGCTTCCTAATGAGTGTCCATATATAGAAACCTGCAAATGATAGAATGAATTTGTAAGATCCAATCGAAAAGCTAGCACAAACAGAAGGTTTGGCAGTGTCTGAATCAGTTTAACAACAAACCTTCCCATCATACCCAGGATTTCGCTTAAGAAATTTTGTGTACAGTCTGTTCAATTGGTTTGAGACCTGAAATGCAAGGAAAATGAGAGCCATACTTTTTTAGTTGCTGATGCAAAGAGTGTACCTAAAAATCTCTCAGCTATAAAACATAGTGGTCATATCTTTGTTCTTCAACCAACTTATTACAGTCAACATGTACAACAATATAAACTTGGACTTCATCAAAGGATTAAATATTTAAATCGGAACTCCTAAAGGATAAAAATCAATGCAAACCCAAGAATGAGAACATCATGTGTACTCAAGATCATTTTAATGCAGCATATGAAATAATTCAGAACAAGGACATTATTTGCAACGTCCAAATAAATATGTAAGCAAGCATGGACATTAAAAACATCTCGAGCCTTGAATATAACTCAAAAGCCAAAAAGTCATTAAGTCCTCTCTATGAAATAAGCTCTTGCTAGATTTATGTTTTCTTCTTTCATATATAACTAAACTGATAAACAATTGGTTTGTTTTAATTTTCCAGTCTTCCTGTTTTAAATTTCTTCAACATGCTTAAACGACGGGTTAAATGTTAATCATAAGGGAATTCATCTTACATCTCAGGCCTCTCTGAGCTAACAATCAAAAGGAAAAAAAACTGCAATTGGGTACTTAATAAGTTAACAAAGACCTAATGCCAAGATAGGCTCCCACTTAAAAGGCTACAGATTTAAACAGTTTTCAAGGAAAAAATAGAGAACGCAAGCATACAATGGCTTTCTGCATGCTTTCTGGATTTCTGTGTCCCAAAAGAAGAAAAAAGAGAATGGTTACAGAGTCCTCACAGAGCATGGTTATACAGAAGAAGCAACATCGTACTTAAGGATATAAGATTTTGCAATTATGTAACCTAACAAACCTAAATGTTACCTGAACTTTTGAAACAACTCAAAACATCATAACCCTATGTTATTATAATACAAATTGCTTTATTTCAATAAAACTTATGTTGTTTCAATATAACATGTGTTATCCCAATATAACTTGAGTTATTTTCATATAGTTTATTATAAAGACGAGACTCAAGAGAGTGTTTCATTTTTTTTTTTAACTTGAAGTAATTACTTTTGAATTGTTTGTTAAGCTTTTATGGTTTATTTTTGGTTACATCATTATGAGATTGTGAAATTACTAACATGACTATCACAATGAATGTGAAGCTTTGAACCGGATGTAAATTTGTGATTATTTGTTTGCATTTTATATCATAATACTTGTTAGTAAATCTGTATAGCTAGTATTATATTAAGGAATTTTTATTAAAATATTGTTTTGCATTTTAATATTTTGTTCCTAATTCTTAAAATTATTATAAACATCTTTTACATAGTTCGAATATCTTATGGAAATTATATTTATAAATTACACAATAAGAAAATACATAAACTACATTATGCATGGTGCTTTGAGCTATCAAGAGACCTTAAGTTATACATTGTGGTATTTTTCAACATTGCTTAAGGCTTGACAGTGTTTCCTTTTGATTTTTGTTTTGAAATTGAAGTACATATGCTTTTAGATTGGCTGCTAAGCATTTATGAAATATTTTTATTGAGAAATCATGATCACATATTTTATAATTGTGATGTTATATTTAAAAAAAAAAACGTGATGATTCTATTTATTAAAATAATTGTGAATATTTTTTTATTAAATATTTTAAATAAATAGTAAAACATGTTACCTATACTATGCATTACGTTGTTTTGCATTTTACGTTACTGGGAGGCTAGCGTTACATCATGTGTTATCACAACATTTGTTTTATTCTCAATCCCTCTTAAGACTAAATAATGATACAATTAATTCCCTCTGCCTCCACGATGACAGAGACAGCCTCCTACTTTCCAAGAAAGTGCAACTACATGAAAAGAATATTAAAATAAACTTTTTGAGGGTATGGAGAGACACTGATTTTGATCAGACTAGAGTAATTCTTGCCACAGATTACAACCATTCACATCTTCGGTTATTGGCAGAAAGGCTAGTCAAACAGATCTCTAGATGCACAGCTATGTGGCCTACCAATACCATGAGCAACCGTTTGAGAAATAGGCTGCCTTCAGTATCTCAAATCTGATTAACTTCCATTCAAGAAACTGAGAAGCAAACTTTGGGAGCAACTCCGGGAATCTCTAGCTATACTAGGGCAAATCAGTCTACACTACAACAAGCTGTGCAAGACTCTTGCACAACACTGCAATATAAACTTATGCCAAAATACTTGAACAAAGATGAAGAAAACTGAATTGAAAACTTTTAAACACGTACAATGTAGCCATCACTAGTCATGACATGGTTCAGAGAATTATGAAGGAAAACCAAACAATTAGTATCATGGAAAAGCTCCCATGGTAGACATAAGCACAATGGAAAAGCACTAGAAGGGAAACCAGCCAAAACCATCTGGCAGCAAAAATATATGCAAAAGCATATCTTGAAAAGTTTTCAGGTCTTAATCAACTGAAGTCTGCATTCATCGAAGAAGTTACGCCTCAAGGGTGGGTAACCTCAGACTCATGCCCTTGAAGGTCCTGAAGTATATAGTAGTTTGGCCAACAGTGGCTATTGTTCATGCACATTTAACAGCCTCTGGTTCAAAGCATATATAAACCACAAGACACAGTCCACAAAGATTCAGCCAAGTTTGATGCACGAATTTGTATGCATTTAGGCACATATTTAGAAACCAGAAGTAATTATGCTGTGTGGTAACTACTAACTAGAATGATGACAAACATATACAGAAGCCATTACAATGCCTTACTTTCCGCTTGGAAAAACACAAGCCTAACACCTCGTGATAAATAGAATGATGACAAACATATACAGAGGCCATTAGACCACCGTACTTTCCTCTTGGAAAAACACAACAAAGCCTAACACTGCCTGACCTCCTAGACCACAGAGTTAACACAAGCTACCTCTCTTAAGTCCATATCTTCACAAAGAACGTTGGATAGTCATCTGTAACAAGCTACCTCTTCTAAGTCCATATCTTTACAAAGAACGTTGGATAATCATCTGTAACTTCCATTTACAACGAAATATAAATGGAAAACCTACTTGGCCCAAAAAACTACCTCAAGCATAAAATAATAAAAACACAGCACAAATTTTTCATAGTTAGCACTACACTTAATAATGCTATCCATATGCTTCAAGTCCTAGGGAAGGTTTTTTTCTTTTTCCCCTTGTCAACTTTGTGCTAGTAATTTTGTCACGTTAAGCTTAAAATAAATTCTCAGGAATCTCTATAACTCTCTAAAAAAACAAATCTGCCTGAAACAAAAAACCAAAACTGAAGCAAAATTATTTAACAAGAAATAAGTAAGCATGAAGATTTTTCTTGATTTGGCTCTTCTAGAGAAATTTCTGCAAGTTATATTTGTATTGACAACGGTTATCACTCATCCTTTTAATATTGGTATCCAGAGTTTCGGCAGTTTTTTCTCAGATATCATATTGTTTGTTAGCAGCGCCTTAAACATTCCAAATTTTAAAAAATAATACTATAGACAATTAGAAATATTCTAACTCTTTTTTGAATTATTGTAACATTGATTAATTAACTAAGATGCAAATTTGAATTAATAGACTAAATAGAAAAGTAAACTTTTGCCAAGAACGTTACTCTGTCTAATATGTAAGCATAAACATAGATAGTCCTAATGACAGGAAGGAAGTTGAAGTCTTGAACACATTGTATATGATTTAACAAATTCAAGTAAGTATATGATTTAACAAATTCAAGTAACGAGTTAAACATTAAATGATAGAAAATGTTTTAGAGGGTTTCAAACCGATATAGTATTTTTTATTGATATTGAAATAGACCAAATACAAAAGATTTTTCATTTAGCTAAACCGACTAATCTAACCAACCACTCAAGAGTGTTATTAACCCTTCTTTGAATAACCGGATTTTTGTTTGTTTTATTCATCATTGGTCTTCTCTCCCAGTCTTGCCTTCTCTATCATTTAGAAGTCCGATTTTCTTTTGATCTCCTGACGAGAACATTTTTCATAAACTAATTTAGTCAACCATTGAAAACAAACAGAATCATCGATCAAGAAAAGGGAAATGGGTAAGATTGAGTTTCATGTCGAACAGGCCAAGGGAATGGTCTGAGCAACAGGGAATATGGCATGGTGTAAAGGAAAATTTTGTATGCATACATTGATGTCCTTAATCATAAACGTAAAGAGATTTGAATGAGCTTTAAATAGTAACAAAGTACAAATATTATGTTCCCCATGTTTTGTGTGATTACTGCCCTTTTACCAATTAGTGTGGGACGCATCCCAATAAGCTTTTTGTAAAGGGGCTTATATCCTAAAAAACTAAATTTAATTGCATATTGATTCAAATAATGTAGAATGCAAAAATGGGGAAATTCATCCATTTACTAAAACTATTCAAGTTAAACATCAATAAATTTAATGGTAAACTGAGGAAAATAAATAAAATTCAAAAAGACAGGTCAGCTACAAATTACCGAGTCAATTATGTCCTGGCAGTGCATGGGGCTCATGTAGTAGAGGACATCATGAACTGTGGCACTTAATGTCACACGAAGACCACGAACACCATCCAAAGTGATCTTTTCAACTGCATTTTCACTGCTCAGCTTCAACCCCTTTCTCCACTGTGAAGAAAAAAAGAGCTCAAAAACATTAAAGAGCAAACAAAAGCATAGAGCACGTGATCTGTTTGACTCACTAAAAGAAAAGCATCAGCAAAAAGATATTTAAGAAACTAATCATAATGAACAAAAATTTGCCCAATCTTCATTTGTGAAATTGAGGCTGCAGACATTCTTACTACATTAGTAGTTAAACTAATGTAGTTAAACTAGATCCAACACCAAGAGTTCAAAGCTCGGTGTAGATTATAGTCAAGTGAAAAGAAACTTCCTCATTTTAAGAGAAGGAGGTTCTAGTGGAATCACAAGATATATTCAAGATAAAAAACTCTCATGTGGAACAAAATATACACTTGAATCACACTCCACTGAGGTCATTGTATGTAGACAAGCAGGATCAGACTCTTATCTGAATGTTTATAGAAAATTTAAAAACATGACTTTTATAGAAAATTTAAAATCATGACTTTGCATTAGTCATGCCTTCACTTACTAGTAAAACAGAAGATAAGAAAATCAATTATATCTCCTTTTTTATGAGTGCCAGACTTCCATAGAAAATGGTATGTGGCTAGTTTATATTCATGGAATGAGATTAAATATGACATGGTTGAATTTGTGGGCTAGAGCTCATATTGAAACTATTTGGCCCAACATGATAACAAAGGGGTTATAGAAGTAGATTTTTAACGCTTACACCATCTATGAGGAATCCAGAAACCCATAACCAACCAATTAGACTAACAATAATTTGGAAAATTATGTTGTTTATTTCTAAATATTAATGAATAGCAATAACTGATGGGTAACTACTCAAATTGGAATAGAGACACAATAAGGGAGAATAGGCATCCATGGAGAAGATATTGGTGCACTTGGATTATTGTCTAAATTTTTTTGAAGTTTAAATCAAGTTGCATATCCAAACCTGCACAGCTCTGAAACATCTTGACCTAGGTTGAACAGATATGTGTACGGATGCACGTATGTCTAGGTGACACGGAAAATTTGTAAAAGGTAGTGTACGGGGACACGGCTACACATACAAGTGTATATAATAATAAGTTTCATGAAATCAATATCATAGTTTTTACTTCAGGTGCTATGAAATAAAATTCATGTTAGAATATAAAAATATAATTCTCAACCTTCACCACGACTTCGAAGTTTAAGTGTACTAGGGACTTTAAGATGGTATCAAAGAAACCTACATTTGAATCCTACTGGCCACAAATTTAACGCCGGTTTTTTTAAAAAAAATTGATATCATGCGTCTGTTCAGGTTTCAGCCCATGAAAAGGGCACTCAACCTGCAGAGCATGTTGGAATATAAAAATGTAACCCTCGCCACAACTTCGATGTTTTGGTGTACTGGTTAGAGGCACTTTAAGGATATCCAAAAGGCCATTTATAATTATAGTTTTCAACTAAGTACATGCTGAAACAAACTAATTCATGTCCAACGAGTTCCAAGAATTGCATGTGTAGGATATACATCCAAGAAGTATATGGCAAGTCTTTTAAAATAGAACATGTATTATATAATTGAGTACGCATTTTAATAAGCGTATGCAAATATTCAAGGAGTGTCTACTGAAGTTTCAGTGTTGGGTGCGGATACAACATAAGCACGCCTCCAAATAGAAGTACCCATACAACATAACTCTTGACTTTCTCCATATTACTCAAAGTACCCATTTCCTTGTCTTGGAGTTTGTGCAGAAGCCTGCAGCAACAACAGATCTATGATCTAACTTGTCAATCTATCTTTTCTAGGATCAAAATTTTAAGAAATTAAATATGATTAGAAAATGATAATTAACTTTAATATATTACACTATCATAAGTAAAATTTATTGAATAGTCACATGATAATTTGAGAGATGGAAAAAAGTCAGACCAATTGGCCACTTGCAAAAACACTAGCTCACTAGAAAGACAAGGGCCAAGAATGTTAAACTATTCCTCTAATTTCGGAATATATTTGCCCCTTTGGATTGTATTAGCCCTTAGCAATACCAAATAAATTGCTTACCCTCTCCCTCTTTTTCTTCAATAAGCAGCAAAGAACTAAGTGAATTGCTTCTAAATTGTGTGACTGTTGACTCCACAATCTACAGCAACATATAGGTCTTTCAACCAACCAACTGGCACGTAGGTGCAGTGACACTCTTGCAAAGCAGTTTTCATGGCTAAAAACTTGATATCAAAGCTCAAGAGCATGACTTCAGCTGCCAAAAAGTTTTCTGTCCGAATTCTAGCATAACATGCTCAGCATGAATTAGCACTCCAAAATCAACCCCTTTTCATCCAGAAAAAGCTCTGATGGTGGTCATGATATTGCATGTACAATTATATGATTGACCAAAAGATAAATCATTTTTTCTCGCACGTCAAAATATTAAAACGATAGTAAAACCGAGTGCAGATCTATGACATGTCTTGTAGCCTTCAGACAGCCTGCTGACTTTCCATTTCCTATTAACCGTGTAGATTTTTCATACTCTCAGAAAGCATAGAAAACAAGAACCAAAACCCCATAAAAAGGCTGATGGAGAAGGTATTACGTCAACATAATATTAAGGCCCTTTTAGTAACAAAAAAAATTAAATAGCAAATTTTATGGAAAAAAAGGACCAGAACCTTACCATATAACTAAACCAAAAATAACATGAGAAGGAAAACTTGAAAGATTCTAGTAAGAGGAGAATAATATTGCTATTTTACCTGGCAAGGAATGAAGAGAACCCGTTGGGTGCATCTCTGAAATGGAGTTAAGTGCCTTTCAGCTAGGCTTGACGTTATGCGACGGAAATCACCAACATCATCAACCAAGTTAGCTTTCTCTAATCTTTGGCCAATACCATGAACCATAAAAACTAGATGTCCAACAGGAACCTGTGGAACAAGAAACAGAATCCAAATACATGTCAGGCATTCCATTAGTCTGGAAAGTTGCAACTGACATTAGTTCTTCATTATTATTGTGAATCTTTTTCATCACATTCAAATTATATACTAAAAGGAAAAGCAAATTCAACTGACAAGCTGTATCCAATTACTTTAGTTTGCATTTCTCCATATTCTTCAACTTTTCTCCTATAAGACCCACACCTTTTCAAGAAACAGGACCAGACTTCTTTCACAGTTTAACATTTTTTTGTTGGCCTATCACTTTACCTGAAGCCACTTTCCACTTAACCCTTGGTTTATAATGGTATACGATGCATTTATCATCTGTCCAAGGTGAATATTACGGACATATACATACCATAGTTAGCAAAAAAGGATGACAAAAAATAAAACAGAAATGTCAAAGCAAGAAAAGTAAGAAAAAGGCAATATCACAAAGGCGACAAATATAAACACTAAATTGTCAGTTCACTACTCACTAGTGACAACAATTTAAATGGTATAGTACCAAAATGATGAATGCCAAAAAAAGGTTAAACATAAATATAGTATAAATATAAATATATATGTACACACACACACACACAAAAGGAATGTGTGTGCCCCAAATTTATATGTCAAATATCTAACTTGTTTACAACAGAAATAGACAGGTTATTTTGGAAGGATTAGGAGCAAAATTTTCCACATTATAATTAAATAATAGAGCGTTCGATTTCATGATCCGCTCCAGTGTAGTTGATCTACATCATTTCAAGTTCTCAACAACTAACAATCAGGCTTTTAAAAGATCCATGCATCAAGTAGATAGAAAATAAACTGCTAAAAATATTATTTCTCTTAGATTTTCACTTTAGAGCACAGAAAGTAGTCAATCCAAACATTTGTTCTTGATGTAAACATTTAAACACTCTTATACACGACTTCTTATCAAGTCTTAATTACTGTGGACTTGTTAACTAAGTAACTTTCTGTTTAGACCATTGAATTTGTGCATACTTGATGCATTGCTAAAGAAATATTATTTCTGTCATGTATATCAGCTTCAGTGGCATATAACTCTCATAGTAGTGCCAAAATAATAAACTTCCAAAAAATAACCAAATCTATCTTTAGTTCTCTACAAATATACATGTTAAAACAGCGTGTTATTTAGCGTTACCAAATAAAATATAACTTTTGAGCTTATTTACAGTAGAAATTTTTGTGTATATATGTCATAGAATAGTTGCCTTTACAAACCAAGTTCCAGGAAACATATTAAAATAGCAGAGGGCAATGTAGAAAAAAGCTTAAGAATAGTCATATATGAAGAGGCAGAGGATATTCATGCTAACAAGCAGGTACCCCTTGGGCTTGAATGTAACTAAACTCCATCCAGAAAACATAAATAGCATAACCCCGATGATTTTGAGACAACTGAGCTAATACTTTATAAACAGTACAATACCAAACAGTTCCAGTACAATATGTCTAAAATATAGTATGCATATGTAGAGTGCCATACTTTGACTCCTGTGCCATTTTGGTGCAAGGAAGTTCCAACTTTCAGATACATTTCAAACTAAAAGTAACTGAACTGTTACCGACTAAAAAAGCCAAGTGTTAGAAGGAGAAGCCAATTGAAGCGAAAAACAATGACCTCATTTTAGTGTTTTTTGCTCTTTTAACCCAGTTATCTGAATAGAGGAAAAAACACCATAAGGCAAAAAAGATTGGAGAGATAGTTGGTATCAGAACTCAATGGATACATGAATATTAAGATTGTGAAGTAGCCTGAAGACAAAAGTCAAAGCCTCATCTCATTGTAAGTGTTCTACATAATTTAGGATTGGTGAAATGAATTCATAATAGGTTTGAGATTAGATATTCGATTTGAGCTTAGGATTGGTTATGTAATTTGAGTTTACAATTAGATATTTGATATGAATTTGAATTTCTTCTATCTGAATCCAGGATTACTGCGTAACTCAACATATGACTTTTGAGTATTTGGTCTATAGAAACTCTTGTAATTTTCAGATTTTATATCGAATTATTGGTTTAATTCTTATAAAGTGTTATGAGTTGATTGAATATGATTTGCATCTTTATGTGAGGCAACAAAATCCTTTGAAGGCGTGATTCCTCTTCTTTTTCAGGCTGAGGATCCCAATCTTGTGTCAATGAGGGTGTAATTCTCTATATTTCTAATCTTTTCATTTTTTTTTCCAGTTTCTTTACTTGCCAAATATTTCCCCGTTACTAAGTTATATGGACCATGTAATTGATGGGATTAAGGCAGGCTTAAAATTGTATGATTTAATAAATCAAAGTAACCAATTAATGAAAACACTATATGTGGAGATAAAAAAAAATAGCTAAAGACTCATGTACTGTAGTTTCACAAAAAGATGGATGAAGCTAGGATCTTTGTAATTGCAAACCTGAGAACAGTAATCATCCATCTCCTCTTCTTTTTGCTGACGTAGCTCATCCTGAACAAAACATTAAAATGGTTGGCGCACATGTGCATTGATTGCTTGACACAGAAGTAGGCAAATAGTGCTCAAGACAAAAAAAATAAAATGTTACAGCTGATGATGATGTCAGAAGCAGTTGAATAATAGTCTTATACGGGCTTGACAATGGTAACACGCTCTCTGATGCTAGTGTCACTTTTCACCAAGATTAGTACAATAATTACAAAATGCTATCAAATTCTAAGGTCAAAAAGAAGGCATGCTTGTATATGCAACCAAACTGCATGATTGTTTTGAGCAAATAGGGTCATTTTTTTAGTCTATGAGGAGTGAGAGGAACAACAGGAACAAAAGACCAATACAAATAAGTTCCCAAAATCCAAATATTAGAAAGTAGAGCAACAATAGGTCATTAGACTTGTAACTCGATTGTTTGAAAACAGTCCTTTCGATATCTGCCTAATGATGGTGCAGAGGTACCATAGCTGTATTATTCTTTTGCCATGTATTTCTTTTTTAAATCATGGAGTGATATGTACCTAAAAGCCAACCATACCAAAGCCCCTTTTGGTGTAAACTTGTAACTTCTTTCCTCATACATATGTTCTCTCATGTCGACACGCAGATATGTAAATGCATGTATGACATGTGCAGCCATGACACAAACATATAGAATACATGTGTCTGGACAGGGATACCACATATGAGCTACCACCTCATTTAGAAAAATGAGCTACCAAGAGAAAGGAGAAGCAAGGTCCATCTACTACAATGTGATGACTAATCTATCTTTTGGCAGCTCATTTAGATGAGCTGGCACCTTAAACTCATACACACATATATAACAACAACAAAGCCTGTCCCAAAAGCTCTAGGGTAAGCTACATGAATCATATTCTTCCATTCAGTTCCGATTTAGTTTATTTTATATAGAGGACCTAACCTTTTTCCACTTTGCTTTTTCCCCTCTTTGTAATGAATTAAAAGCGTTAAGAAGGAATAAGTGTTTAATTCACAATTCCAAATGAGAAATAAGTGATAGTTGGGGGGAGGTAAAACACAAATAATTCCTTTTGCCACAATAAATTGTTTACACAAAGGTTCATCTAGTATAAAGAACTTTGTACTTGAAGGGTATTATTCTGGTAGTGATTATGCATTGAAGAATTAACCTGAGTAGGCTTCAAAGATCCTGATGGTGAAAATCCACGTCTCAATTTAATCCCATTTCCTCGTCCAAAATTCAAGGAAAATCCACCACTGTCATAAACTAGCCATGCCTCCCATGTATCATCTTCTCCTGTGAAAAGAGCATGCAAACCCTATGAAGGCAATTATTTTAGCCATTAGCATCGGTCACTGTTAACAAGCGCCCTAATTCTCATTCTCATAGTATACCTGTACAGAGCCTTGCAGATCAACACGAGCAGCAAATAGTCCTGAAGGTTGAAAAGTTCGACGATGCCAGATCTACATGTGATGAAATAACCAAATCATTTAGAGTATCAAACCTAGAAGCTGAGAAAAGATTACTGGGAAGGTAAGTAAAAGAGCAATGAGGAAATTCCAGTTGTATGTCCTCGAAAGTGAAATAGCCCTAGCAATTTTTTCATTTAAAAGATGTCAGAAAATGAAGCAAATAGGATGCATTCAATTCTGGACAAAAAGTTGCTATGGAAAATCTAGAACATTGCTAGTGTCCTTCATAAATGAGATTAATAAACAGAATTATATGATTATACCACAAAATACTAGCTGCACCCAAAGCTAACTTCCCTTCTAGATGATCCATCTCAGGCAGAGGGATTATACCACACCATCAAATTTGACTACTACATTCCTTATTTCCACAAGAAAAAAATTAGCTTCCAGGATACTAAAGCAAAGCATCAATGGATTTTGTAAAACAAAACAGTTGTGCCGGAGATATTTGGTAATCTTCCCTTTACAACAAAAAATGGGAAACATAGTATCAACAATAATCTTTTGCTTTGTATCTTCACCCGTAGATCCTCTTAACTCATATACATTCAAGGTTGGGGTACCGCTGATGTGCACATCCCATACTCTAAAATCCAAAACATCAACACCCAAGATATGAAGTGATTGTTTAGGAGTGTGTCACATCAGTAACAAACCATCGATCTACGTGGCAGGACACACTAGACCCATTTTCACACACACACACTCTCTCTCTCTCACTAACACACATGTATGTGTATATGTATGTACATGTGCGTGTGAATGTCTATTACACATACGCACACATACGTACAATGTATGTGTGTGTCACAACTCCATGATCACATTTCAGTTAATCTGGTATCACTTCTGAATACAAATCATGAGAATGTATATTCTTTCCCTTATGCTAACTAAAAAATATGGCTACATTTCTCAAGCACATATACGTAAAGAAGCAACAAGCCCAAAAGTCGCAAGGCATAAATCTTGACAGCAACATAATACACATACTTATGCATATATGTAGAATACCGAGAGGCAATAAATGGGAATACATCAACAAGTCGAAGTCAGGACATTGGACTAAATTTAGACTGCATTTGTTACAATGAATTTATCAGGGACCGCACACACACGTGCAAGTGAGAGCGAGAGAGGCAAGAACAAATATGAATATCACAAAATTTTAAGGCATAAATCTTGACAGCAATATAATAGACATACTTACACATACATTTGTGATATGGGAATACAATAATAGTCGAAGTCAGGCCATTGTATAAGTTTAGACACCTAACTACAACCAATTTATAATGGAACACACACAAACACATGCAAGTTAAAGGCAAGAACATACAAATGCAACTACTGTACACTGTTACCTGGGTACTTCTATCTGAGTGCCGTACCCGTACCTAACATGTACCCGTACCTGTACCCAAACTCCTTGAACACTCCTTGCATATATGAACACATTTATTCGGGCATCTACTCAATTATACAATACATGTTTTAGTTTAAAACACTTGTCATACATTTTTTGAACATTTATCCTACACTTCACTTCCACTTTTTGAAACTCGTTGGATATAGGTTGGGTTCCAAACTATGATTTTAAAGGGTGTCTAGATGTCTAGTTCAAAAACTAGTGATTTTCCAATTTATAATCCACATAATAAAAGAATCATAAAACTGTAATAGAAACGTTATAAGGATTTTAATTCTCATGACACGTGAAAGAAAACAATATTGATCTAATGTAAATTATTAATTCTAATATATAACATGTATATGTGTATATAAATATTTATATAGCCGTGTCCCAGTACTCTACCTTTTACAAATTTGCCATGGACCCGTACCCATGCAACATAGACTGTACAACTCAGAGTACAGTTAGAACAAATCAAAACTGATCTGGTCATTTCAAATCTTTAATACAGTTAGTTATTTACATAAAATTTTAGTTTAGTAACCTGAGACCTTATGCCTAATTCCAATATAGAATTAAATACATACCTGGTAAGTAGCATAAAATAAGTATTTAATCATTATACTTCTTTGACACAGAGACACGAGAATACAGCATATTGTTTGGATTTCCTGATATTTTCAGAATGATTATGATGATTTACGTAAAGAAAAACCATTAAATCATGGAGGTGCTTTCGGGAAACACAGGGGCCTGCAGTTTTCATGTAGTAGCAGAAATTTGGACTTTGTAATGCACTCAAGGTGTGGGAAAGGCTCCAATATTTTCCATTTTAATTCTTCACTGCTTAGCAAAAAATAAGCACAAGTCTTCATTGTTCCCTTTATGGTAGATGGGGACTAAAGGATCTCTGAGCTTAAATCAGTTTAGATGGATCTAATGTTATATTTACCTCCTATGAAATTTTAGCTTATCAAGTCTCCCTTTTTACAAAAACCTAAAACTTCTGGAGCAATATTAGATGAAAGCTCTGAACCAATCAATCCAAGTTAACCTCCAAGGCAAAGTCACTATCAAAGTGTGAATTCTCTATCTAAATACCTGACAGCGGTAAGCCAATTCTAGTTGTTCTGCCACATCCTCGCAATCAAGACCACCCTTCCGAGCAAACCAGTGACCTCTAAGAACACGCCGATTTTCACCATGCCAGTATACTGGGAAACAATGCCTCTTGGTTAAATCTACCTGCAATCATTCCCAATCCACGTTAAAGCATAAACTGATATGTACAAAGAAACCATACCTAGTTTACTGCATTATAATAGTAAGACACGTTTCTTGAAAAGAAATAAGAAAAGAGTCAAATTTTTGTGTGGGTTAAAACCTCATCATGCTCTAAACATGCTCTATTGAAGCAATGACCTACACTAATAATCTATGTTGCATGGAAACGGGCACGGGTACTGGTACGGGTGCGGGTACGGGTAGGGGATACGACAAAACTGTAAAATGTTGGGTACGGGGACACGACTACACACACACACACACACACACACACACACAGATATATATATTTTTACTAGACATCTAAACGACCCATTAACTATATAGTTTTGAACTTGGGTATGGACTGAAACGAACCAGCCCGTATCCCATTAGTTTCAAAAGACGGATGTGAAGTGTAAGCTCTACGTCCGGGAAGTCTTTGACAAGTGTTTTAAATTAACACATATATCGTCTAATTGAGTACATGTTGTAATAAATGTTTAAATTAACACATATATCGTCTAATTGAGTACATGTTGTAATAAATGTATGCATATATTCAAGAAGTGTCCATGAAGTTTGGGTACGGGAGTACATGTTGTAATAAATGTATGCATATATTCAAGAAGTGTCCATGAAGTTTGGGTACGGAAAAGTGTCCGGTACGGGTACGGCTTCAATAATGAAGTACCCGGGTAACATAGCTAATAATTATAGATTAAAAAAGATATATTTATTTGTTGTCACAAATCCTTTACTTAAATATCTAGTTCAACAATAACAAATAGATACAATAAGTGGTCAGTTGACTCGGTCCATTGCTGCTGCCAGACCTATAATGGAGCTATACCGAAGAAAACAGGAAAAGGAACACATTTAGACAAAATGAGAGGATGAGGGAGGGAAGAGATGATGGTGATGGTGATGCAATCAGAAGAGGGTGCAGAATCTAGCTGATGAAATGGAAAAAAAAAAAAATTTAAGTCCTGAGCACCGAATCCAAAAAGAAAAGAACAGGTAGAGAAAACTTAAGAGGTACTCACAACCAACTAATCTTAATACAGCGTTTGTATCTTACAGCATTGTTAATAGATTTGGGTGAGATGACTTACAAGATACCTTAACTACCCAGACCAATTTAATGCCAGCTTCAGATTTCTTGATTTAGATCAGACACCCTACCAGCTCAATTTTTTATAACAGATCATAACCACTGCACTTGATGTCAGTTCTAGTACAAATGAATCATACTCATAATGGTATGAAGCATGATAAACGCACAACTCCTCGGACAGGTGTAAGGTTGCACGACATAAAGTAAGCATGCTGGCAAACTTCACTTAAGGCAACTTCTCCAAAGAAGTAAAAGAAGTAACTGCTGAAAACATTATCTGTCTGAATTCACATCCAAGCATAGATGCCTTGTCTCAAGCACAACAAGTCCACATGGTTATGCTTCACACCAACAGAAGCTTCATATTAAATATTTAGAAAAATAAAAGTAGAATTCCAAATTAATATAAGCATACTAGCAGAAAATAGTAGTGTAAGTACAGAAAGGAAGACATGGGACATTCCAGGAGGAACTATGGCTTTCTCTGTGCAGAGTGCAGAACCCAAAATACTACAAGAAAAGTCTCAGTAACAAGTGGCCAAAGTTATTCCAAAAATATAAGATAGCCTTTCTAAGCAATATTTACTCAATCACAAAACAACTTACAAAGTTCAAGCTATTAAGATTCAAACATATGTGAACAATATGGTTTTCCAACTTAAACAAAATAATGTTTCCTTGTGTCGCTTGCGAAACTATTGTTCGAGTTGTTTATTACCCAACCCTTTCCACAGTTAATAAATCATTTCCAAATAAGAGCTATGAAATCAGAAAACCATATGGAGATTTTTTAAGGCCTGAAATACATAAGTTGAACCAATATTTTTTCTAACTAACTTGCACGGGAACATGCTGACAAGATATGCTGTAATATGCCCTCTTGCCAGGTTCTTCATAATATTGCTCTCTTGCAGTCCACAAATCTTTAAATTTTTTAATTTTTCTTTGCCCGTTGGATAACATTTTAACCAAAACTACCAAGTCATCTCATAAACCTGCAATTTCATAAACTTTTCAAGGATCAAACTCTCCAGGTAAGCCCCCAAAGAAAAGAACTTGCATTACTGGAACTCAAAGTACCATTCTATCAGAGCAAACAAAATTTGCCTGTTATGTTGTAAGCATGTAATATATACAACAATGGTTGATACTGAGTGAAAATATTCCTCTCAACTACCACAGTCAGAAATTCAGTTCTATGTAGAGAACAACTTAGTAGATTAATTTTTTTTCTAGTAGATAGAAAACAATGAATCAAAGAAGGAAATGTGACGGATATGAATTACAAAAGGAGAATACACGAAGAGTTTCTATTAGAAAGTAGAATAAAAAATAAAGCTTGACAAAAAGGCAGACGTCATGATTATAACTGTGGAAACAGACCAAGTGGAGTTTTTTTTGTTAAGAGGAGATAACATAACAGAAGAAACAGATTAGAAATCACACGTTTAGGGCATGAGCATGAGAAAAAGATGAAATTTCTCCCCAGAACTAAGAAACATTAAAAAGGACTAAGAATAACTCTAGCATTGACTTTTTACATTTTAGTACCAATAAAGATACTTCAGTAAAAAAAATACCTCGTAAAGGCCTCCTTTTACGGGGACACCAACTCTCTCTTCCTCAACAACATATAATTCATCATTTAGAGAGCTTGTAGTAGTGTTCAGTGCCTTGCTTGGTCCAACAGGACCTTCACTGCATTCAGCGTACTCTTTCCACCAATGGGAAAGTAGCTCTTCTTCCCTCTGTCATAAATGCGGAAGACAAAAAAATTACAAAACTGAAACAGACAAGCTTTTTCTTATGACAATTTAGTATGAAGAAATCCACATAAGGAATCATTTAATACACATTTAAGGTTATCTATTAATGAGATATCACATTCACAGACAGCTAAATTGATCAAGAAAATAGATCTTGTTAAAAATAAAGCAAAAGAGCACATCTTGGAACAAAAGATAGCACCTATGTTACCTAGGTACTTCTATTAGGAAGCCATATCCGTACCCGATGCGTACCCATACCCATACCCGTACCCATACCCAAACCTCTTGGACACTTCTTGAATATATGCATATGTTTATTCGGGCCTCAACTCAGTTATATAATACATGTTTTAATTTAAAATACTCATACACTTCTTGGATGTAAATTCTCTGTTTCACATCTATTTTTTATATATTAATCTTATGTAAATGAGAAAACAATATTGATCTTATGTAAATTATTAATTTCATCTTATGTAAATGAAAAAACAATATTGATCTTATGTAAATTATAAATTTCAATACATATAAATATACATAACATACATATATATAGCCGTGCCCCCGTACCCTACCTTTTACAAAATTTCCGTGTCCCGTACACATACCCGTACGGGTACCCTCACTCATGCAACCTATGATAGCACTGACTTAAAGACCAACTTCACTTAATCAAATGGTGGCAAGGAATCAGCTCCATTACATCACTAATGCACAATTAATTTGTATCTTTTAATCAATAATTTCAAAGAAAGAAATACACCTATAAACACATGGAAAAAGACACCTAGGGATGTTAGGAGTATCGCTTATAGAGTTTCAAGCACCATGCACAAAATAAAGATGAATAATCAAAATTTTGACCACAACTTCACAATATAGTGAGTATTTCTGGTATGCAAGTATCACTGACATCCATGTGTCATTTCTTGCAAGCAAGTCAATAAAGCATAGAATCCTAGAGAATATGCTATTAGGATGAAAATAGAGATAGAAGATCACAAATTAGAAAGCATTATGGTAGCGATTCATAGCTGCAATTAGGAATGACAGATCTTAATAGGGTTGGAAGGAGAAAAGAATTCTTGTATACAAACCAAAGGCTACAAAACAAAGATCATCTTTTGTCCATCAATGATGAGTCATCTATTGGCGCATATTCTTACAACTACTTCATAAAAGCATAACATTAGTCATTTCTCAGAAGAGGCACTACAAAAGTACGGGATTACATTTATTCTTCTCTTTTAATGGAAGGTTTTCTAATAATGATTATTTATTCTCATACCAGTCAACTTAAATTGTAAACTGAATTTTGAGTGCTTATATAAACAAAAGACCATCTAGACGTCCTTGGTTTTCTTAAACTCAATACAAGATTAAGCTTGATAATATTAGTGAGGTGATAGAGTTCCCTCTTCAACTCTTACTGTGCCTAAGAAATGATGCAATTTTCTATGACATACATTACCATGCTATCTCCATTTAGAATTAGCTAATTATTTAGCGCAAAATGTAAAGTTTAATGTTAGGGTTAGCATTAGAATCATGGGTATTTGGGTATGGACCCATGTCGGGTTATATACCTATCCACCTATTGCTTGGATATCTTCTATTATCTCTCATGAACAATTAATTGGCAATTATCCTAGTCGATAACATTCTGCTACCAAATCCTTCGCTCATGCATTCTGATAATCAGTTTGTTGGCTACATTGCAAAAGAATCTGTTGTTTCATGAGAGGATTGAGCACGTAGAAGTAGACTGTCATCCTTGTAAGGGATATTGTGATGAAAGAGTCGATATGCACTCCATTTACACCCCTATGGAACAGTTGGCGGATATGTTTCACCAAGCTGGCGTCTCATGATGTGTTTTCTGTATTCTGTAAACAAGTTTGGGCATCATAGATATCTACGCTCCAGCTTGAGGAGAAGTGTTAAAGTTAGTATTAGAGTTCTGGGAATTTGGATATGGACCCGTATTAGGTTATATATTACCGCATCC